GGAACACCATTTTTACTTGGAAGAACAAATGACAAAAAACTATGGTTATTCAGGCCTGAGTATTTGGTAAACACTTTTTGAAAGTAAGATGAAGTGGGCCTGTAGCATCAAAGAAAATGACTGACAGTCTTTACTGTTAATGCCAAAATTTAAGCTTTTAAATGAAAATTAAAACTTTTGAGAATTTGTATTCACCATAGTGAGCTTGTCAGCTTTCCAATATTGGGCAACTTTTCTGATGAGATCAGTGGTGATATGAATGAGTGGAATTTTAAATTTTGTATAATGAAATGTGCTAATATTTGGAAGGTCAGCCTAACTCAGTAAAGCAATATTTGCCAAGTGACTAATATATCGTGTTACAAAACGCATGGGGAGAAGATCTGTTTAAAGTGCAAGACAGATCAATGGATTTTAATGAATTAGAGTACAAAAACTTCGCTGATAAGATTTCAGATTCCACGTTTTTACTAACCTCTATGAAACAACTACTTGCCAGATGGTGGCACAGTATCGAAGAAAAACATCCACACTTATCTGAAAGGGTTATTAAGACACTTGTTCCTTTTCCATCTATATATCTGTGTGAAGCTGAATTTTTTTCATATACTTCAATCAAAGCAGCGTATCACAACAGATTGAATGCAGAAGTAGATATAGGAATCCAATTCTCTCCTAGTAAGCCAAACATTAAAGAGGTTTGCAAAAATGTAAAATAATGTCACTCTTCCTACTATTTTTTTATTATGGAAAATATAGCTATTTTTCATAATAAATGTTATATATTAAAATATAATGAGTCATGTTTATTTTTAATGAATTAATAAATATTTGTAAATTTTATTGGTTTCAATTTCTAACGTGGCAAATATTGATAGATATATTCCATATAAATAAAAGCTTTCTTAAGTCCTCTAATTTTTAAGAGTATAAAGGTCTCCAGAAATCAAAAAGCTTGAAAACTGCTGCTTTAAAGCATTTTATCAAATTAATATTTAAACTTAATTCAGATGAAATTATAATAATAATGGTATTTTTTTTGAAACTCAATCAACTAATTCTGAAGTTCACTTGGAAAAGAAAATGTGCATGAATAACCAAGGAAATTTTGAAAAAGTAGATTAATGAAAAGAGACATCCTTACTTATATTTAAACATAAGATGAAACTACAGCAATTATAACTGTGTAGTATTGAGCACAGAAGTAGACAACTAGATTATAGGACAGAAAAGAAAAGTGCAGAAACTGACCCTTAAAATGTAATTATGGACAGATTTGGGTGAAAAACATAATGTTTTGTTAAAGTTCTTAGTTGCAGACAATAAAATCCACTCAACTGGCGTGAGATAAAAGGAATTTATTGAGGGAGTGTGGTGTTCACAAAATTGTTTCAGTGAATAAATGAAGAAAAAGATTTCAGGCTGAATTTCCAGAAATGACTACCAAAACCACACCACAGAATTCAACAGCTAAGGGAACTGATGCGCGCACTACAAGAGGAGGCTGCAGAATCAGGAAGCTGCTCCCACAGCTGTTGCTTCAGAACCACACCCCTCTGCCATCTCTGGAAGCTGCCAAAACAGGAATCCATCTGCCTAATTAGAAGCAGCCACCATAGTTGCTGATTCCAGAACTTGCTACCTCTGCCATGATCCAAGCCTGCCAAATGAATACCCATCCTTTCTCTCTAAATAACTCAGTTTAAATACAAGTCTTTTATAAGTACCTCCTATTGGTAGAACCAGACTCAGATCCAAAAAACCTAGTTATATGGAAATCTGGAAGGAGGGTGGAATGGCCATTGAATGAGACATTCCATTGTGTTGACCATGATCTTTATCTCTCACCATAACAGCAACAAATTACAAAGGTATTACAAGAAAATACAGATGAGTATTTTTACAATCATAGGAAGGAGAAACACTTCATAAGCAAAGTACAAACCCCAGAAGCCACCGTATGAAAGACTGCTAGTTTGGACTACCTACAATGTTAAAGCTGTTATAGGACAAAAGATGCACAAACAAAATTGAAAAGACCTGTAATGGACTGGAAGATAATATTTGCAACATTTATAGCAAAGAATTATCTAGAATTTAAAAAGTCTCTTACAAATCAGTAAGAAAAGGATATCTAACCCAATGAAATCAGACAAAGTGAAATAAATAGGTAACTCACAAAAGAACCATAAATGGCAAAAGGGGCTCAACCTCCCTAGTAATTAGGAAAATTCAAGTTAAACGAATAATGAGACTTTTTATCTAGAAAATTGGTAAAAAAAAAAAAATTACAAAGATTTTTAATGTCCAGAACTGACAAGGGGCACTCTCATACACTGTAGTGGGGACAATACTTAGACAGAGTTCTGGTGGAAGGTCATTGAGGAATATCCATCAAATTTTTAAAAGTAGAATAAATATCCTTTGATACAGATATTCCACTTTTCACTTTCCAACCTGCAGGATAACTCACACATGTGCATAAACAGACATATGCAGTGATTTCATTATAGCAGTTCACAATGATAAATTCAGAAATAATGTAAATCTCTATCAAAAGAGAAATGATTAAATAAAATATAGTAAGTCTACATGATGGATGTCAAAGCAGTAGTTAAAAAGAATGAGGCAAACTGATATGTATGGATAATACATAAAAACCGCTCTCCATCATATCCATCATATTTGTATAGGCAAATAAGTGCTGACAATTGCAAAGAAGTCTGCAGCGATAATACACACTCTCAAGAGAGTTTACTTTTAAGAGGAGAGTGCAATTGGAGTGGGAAGGAGGTTGCGAAAAGGGCCTTTTTTCTGTACCTCTTCCTTATTGTTTAAATTTTCACCAAAATATATTTGAATGGGAGTTGTACAACTAAAAGGTAAAAGATTACTTTGCTGTTGTTAATATTTTTCAATAAATATATATTTTTAAATTTCAGGCGTAATTTGGGGCTGTTCAGCTCAGTAACAATCATGATAGGCATTTTCAATGCTTAGCTATGTTTTCTGAAATCAGATTACATTTATACTTTGGATAATGGCCATATTTCTAATAATTAATTCCATGTAGTTTTTACCACCATACTTACTCACGTGATACATATTTCTTGATTTTACAATTGGAAAACAGATTTTTTACATTTGCTTTTCTATTTATGTACTAATTACTGAACCTTCAGCAATAAAGCCAGCACCGCTGATTGCAACCTCCCTAATTTCTCCCTAAATAATTATATCCCTATTTTCCCATCTCCACACAAGCACGAATTTGTGACCAATTATAGAAGCCACATGGGAAAAGGAATATATGATTGAGGACTCCAAAAACCCTGTGTTTCCTGAAATAATGCAGCAGTATTGATTGAGAGCAGTTGCATCATTCCCATCTCTTCTGTAAATACATCAACTAGCCAGAAATAGCTTATGAGGACTGAACCTCTTCCTGCCCCAAAGCGCTATGATGTAGGGTAACCAAGAATCACGGAAGACTTGCAATTGCAACAGAAAGGAATTTAGGTCGAATTTAATGATAAATTTCTCATCTGTGAAAGTAATGAAATTTTTTTTTTCACTTTTAAAGATTGGCACCTGGGCTAACAACTGTTGCCAATCTTTTTTTTTTTTTTTTTCTGCTTTATCTCCCCAACCCCGCCCCGGTACATAGTTGTATATCTTAGTTGCAGGTCCCTCCAGTTGTGGGATGTGGGACGCCGCCTCAACGTGCGTGACCTGACAAGCGGTGCCATGTCCGCGCCCAGGATCCGAACCCTGGGCCGCCGGATCCGAGCGCGCGAACTTAACCACTCGGCCGCAGAGCCGGCCCCTAAATATTTGAAGAATTATAAAACTCTGATGAACACGTACTCTAAAAAATAAAATCAGACCTCTGTCATCATCAACAGCAGTTGAGCCATTCCATAAATATTTTTTGAGTGCCTCCCATGTGCCAAGTTCTGTGCCCATCACTGGGAAGTATAAAGATAAAGGAGAGAGGATCTTACACAGAAAGAATTTATCAAACCTGTGGGAGAAATGAAATGCACTCATCCATTAATTCATTCATTTATTCATTTGTTGACAAGTATTACTGAGTGCTAATAAATGCCAACCACTAGGTTAAGCACTAGGGATAAATGGTGGCAAATACTCAGCTACAAGAGTGCAATAAGGGAATAAATTTCCGTGACAGTTTAGAGTGGAGCAAGGTTATTCCACCTGTGATATGAAAGAAAGCTTCAGATAAGTGACACTTGAGCTGAGTCATATGTAAGGTTTTAATAAAGGGAAGGAGGGAATTTCAGGTTGAAGAAACAGTAGGAGCAAAGGGAAGAGAAATGGAGATAGTAGAGGATATATTGGCATAGCGCCTAATGCATAAATGAAACTCAATACAAGATAAATACAATAGGACATTTGGTGCTATGGCAAACAACCCCCAAATCCCAATTGCTCACATCACGTCAAATTTAGTATTCAGTAGGTGGAGATTCATGGACCCATGAATCTAGTTGTTCTGTCTTCCATACGAATTGTGTGTGTTTGAGAGAGAGAGAGATCACATCACAGAGGAGGTTGTAGGGAGTAAGGACCAGGACTGGAAGGACAGACATCACTTTCGCCCACATTCTATTCAGCTGAAAGAAGTCACACGGACACGGTCCAACTTGAGCAAAGGAGACTGGGCTATGTAGTCGCCCCGAGCGCTGAGGAGGTAAGTGCACCTGGTTTGTTGATCACTTAGCATTATCTCTGCCACAGAGATAACCTTATCTATAAAGGCTAATTCATTTAAAGGACTATTATTTAACATTTAAGTATTTAGTATTTAATTATTGATACTTCAAGCAAACGTTGAGTAACTATTTTGCAAGACGATGCACTAGATTCTGAAAATGCAAGAAAGATAATATACTGAAGGAGTTTACAATTTAGGCAGGGATCAGGACTCACATATAAAGAGAGAAATAACACAATGTAACATATGGTAAGTGTCAAAATACAGAGCAACACTTTATACGGCTTTATTTTATGATTCACATAATATTACTATTAAAAGAACCAGATATACTGTTCTCTGGATTTCCTTACATCGTTTTAAGATAGGCTTACAGTGTTCCCCAAGCACAGAGACAAATGTGTTGCCCTTTTAAAACGCAGAGCCGTGAAGAAGAAAATGGAAGACCTTGAACAGGGAGTAGTATGTGCTCTCTGAAGGAAGATGCAACTCATACAAATGTCATGGTGATTTATTCGGTAAAGGCTCCTGAAGGAAGTTACTGGATCTCCTGACAAGCAAAAAGAAAAGTTTTTGTCATTTTATTTGGACCATTTACATTTCTCACGTAGAGGTGGTGTATCATAATCATTAGGAATACTGGCGTTAGAGTCAGACCCACATCATTTCAAGTCGCAGCCCCGTCATCTATTGGCTTTGGGCAACAACCTCCCTTACCCTCAGGTTCCTCATTAGTAAAAAAAAAAAAAATGGGGTGAAACTGGTGGCCAAATAGCCATTAATGATTATTCTTAAAAGTCATGTAGATAAACAGCATATTATCAGACTCCCACTAGGTTCCTTATACATAACACCTCTGACACCTGGGTCACCGTGGTAACAGGTGCTTAGGTTGTTTTTCAGGAATGAGAGTGAACTCCTTGTGCAGTTCAGGCTGGTTGAGACCACCGACCCATCAACTGGGCCTGCGCCGATGACCGACAGGTGACCCTTTGATGTCAAGGAGCTGAAAACACCCTCAGATCATGCCAACGCCACCACTTTGTGAACATGTGTCCTATGAGGAGCCATGAAGCTTGACCACGCTTGTGCACATCATCAATTACCTCGCTTCTCCTCACCTCCAGTCATCTATCCCCACACTTCAGACCGCCCTGCCTCCTTATCATGCAAATATCCCTAATCCCCATTTTCCAGGAGCCAAAATTTTCTCCTATTTCATTGCTTGCCTGCCTTGCGAATAAATCCTTTCTCTGCTGCAAAACTTGTCATCTCAGTGATTGGCATGCTGTGTGGTGGGCAAAACGAGCCTGGTTCAGTAACAATGGGATAATAACAACAACAATAATAATAATAATAATAATGCTGCCTCAGGCTCTCCTAAGGACTGCATGAGTGAATACATCATTATACTTTACCACCTGGTGCATGATAAATATCTTATAAATGAAATAGGATGATGATAAAATCAGTGTTTTTGGAGATTACTTAACAACATGATAGGTTGTACAAAGACACAATTTAAAGTAAAAATGGACATAATGTCATCCAAATTTTGATTTAAAAAATATTGAATAGATTGACACAGACATACAGACAGGAAGGAAATTCACCAGAATGTTAGCAATGGTGTCTTTAAGTGGTATAATTATGAATTTTTTTCTTTTTTTATACAAGTCTGAATTTTCAGATATTTTTAGAGTAAATATTTATTTCTTTCATATGCACTCTATTATCTCAAAAATCTCTTCCATCTCTTAAACTTTATACGCACGTGTAGTGCTTTATTAACACGATATGATTCATTTATGTTATTTTCTCATAAAGATAAGAAGACATCCCTGAGGAAACTCTTTGCTTTGCTCCTGTGTTAGAATAATTGGCCAGCAACATTAAAAATTAATCTGCTGAGAAGCAAACAGTTTTTCTCGCTCCTAGGTTTTTTCTCTCTCAGTCAATAGTAAAGAAGTAAAATCTCTCTTCAAATCCTTATTTTTCCCCTTCTTTCTCTAACATGCACCTGGATCCTGAATCAACTTCACGTTGGAATAATTCCAAATAACTTCTAACATAAAATTTCACTAACAGTGGAACACGCCAATCAGAGATGTAGAACTCTAGAACTCCAAGCCATTTCAGACTTTCTTTAAAGCTGGAGCTAAAATATACTGAATTTATATGTATATTGCAGTTTATGGATTTAAGTATAAATTGAACTTTTGAAAAAAAATGATCATTTTTATTTCCGTGTGAGATGGTTTTCTCTTTTGCATGGATGTTTCTTGAGTCAAGCGAACCCTTGTGTAAAGAAAATTCTTTTAGCATGTATTCAGTTTGGATATAGGAAAATTGTACTTGACATTTCTCTTAAATTGTTCTCTTCAAGTTATACTAATTTGAAATCAGAGCACATAGAATTGAGCTCATGAGGGAAACCTACTTACATTATATTACATTACCCTTGCCTATATGTGGCTGGAATAGTAAGTGTAGAGAAGCTTTTGCCTTGGGGAATGGAACAGCCACTGTTCAAAATGATGGACGAGTTTGCTCTTGTTATAACAGGAAATGCACAAGCCAAGGACTTTGCCCCCTGTCTACCTCTTGGCAGTGGCTTCAACCCCTAGGCCATCTCACCTATAATCATCCCCTTAGGAAGGCATTTTCTCCCATTTTGTTATTCTTGTTGGGTGATGGCTGATTATTTTTGCTTTTAGACCAAACAAAAACAAAACAAAACAAAAAGACAAAAAAACCTTTTTCTGGCCTTTTGTGGTTGTTTTGATTGCTCAGTTGGACTTTTTATGCTTTTAATCGCCTTCCTACTAATTATCTTTATTTGCTTATTTTATGTCTTTTCCTTCTTTCCATGTTAAATGGGAAAAAAGAAGTACAAATCCCAGGTCAGCGGGTATGAGCTTGGGTATGCCAACCCAAGCATGCTGTTCCCCCTGCTCACCTGTGTGTGCGTTCCTCACCGTCTCCGAGGCATATTCCCTGCTCTGGTCTCCACCGAATTCCTCCAATAAGGTGAAGACAGTCTTTGCCGCCCTTTTCCATGTTAGTTTATCTCTTGGCCTGACTACTATTTGCAAACATAGCCAGTTTCTCTCCCATAATACAGAAGATGAAACCACCTGGAGAAGGACAGTGAAAGAAGAGTTGCAGAGGCTGGGTTGTGAAAATACCAGCCTCGTTCTTTGTCCCAACACCTGAAGAGACTGTGTTGGGCCGTTCCTCAACACTCTTTGTCAATACCACATCAAGAAACCCAGCCCAGGAAAAGACTTGGAGGTATTTTGGAGGCATGGCCTCCTCTCTGATGTATGTATTCCCTCTGCAAACATCAGCAATAGGCGAGCTGGCCTCTTCATCTGCTTGTTCAAAGACAAAGGATTGTATCTCTTGAAGGAGCCCTGCTTTGAGGCAGTTCCAACTTTAGAGAGCTCTTCCTCTTGTTGAGTCTAAATGCTCACCGCAGGAACTTGCTTTTGCTGGTCCACGTCTGCCCTCCAGAGCCTCTCAGAATAAGTCTTCTTACTCTTCCATGTCACAAATTCTTCCTAAATTCTTCACATACATTAAATAGAAGCTACTACCAACTATTAACTCTACATCCAATCCTTTGAAATCCAGCTAGGAAAATAGGACTCTCCTACTCCTTTAGATCATAAATGAATAAGATAAAGAAGGCATCAAATCCCTTCTTTATTTTATAATTTTCTAGATCTAAGCAAAAATGCTGGGTTTTTTTGTTGTTGTTTTTGTTTTTGTTTTTTGGTGAGGAAGATTGTCCCTGAGCTAACATCTGTGCCAATCTTCCTCTATTTTGTATGTGGGATGCCACCACAGCATGTGTAGGTCTGTGCCTGGGATCTGAACCTGAGAACCCCAGGCTACAGAAGTGGAGTGCATGAACTTAACCACTGTGCCACTGTGCCAGCCCCCAAGAAAAAATGCTTTTTGTTTTAAGAACTGAGGGGGCACCTCAGTGATCCTCTAGCTCAACTCCCTCACTTTTTAGGTAAGTAATCTAAGATCCAGACATCTTGGTTGAGATCAGGGTCAAAGAACTCTGGTTACCAGTAGGAGTGTAGTAGAGGATTGTCTTGCTTGTTCTCAGAAGATAATAACTGTACTTTGACCATTGCAAATAGTTTTCTAACGAAATTGTTTTATTGCACAGCTTTCTGAAACTGTTTTACAGTAAGTTAACTTCTAGTAACATATTTTAGTTCCTAATCTTAAATACTAATTTATTCTAAAGTTTTTCAAAAGTTGTACAAAGAAGTTCCAAAAATATCATCAGAGACAAATAAAAACAACCACAGCAAAATTCACTCTCCATTTTCCCCAGAATATCAAATCTCTGGGAACTACACACATACAGACGAACACACACATGGGCACTTACACTCAGACACGCACAGAGTGAACAAACGTCTCTGTCTTTCCCACAGCTGACTTTCATATAAACTCAGGATTACCACTATCAGTAGGGAGATGCAATCAAGATACTTAGCCAGAGAGCTGACATTTGACATTACCTAACAAACAGGATGTCAATACAATTGGGCTTACTCATACTGCTGCCCTTGAGAATTTGAAATAATATTAAAGGACAAGAACAAGAGGGCTTTCCCGTGTCCGTACTGCTTTTCACATACGCGTTTGGTAACAGCAGGGATGGAAGATCAATAAAATCATTAGGAAAGAGCTGTGCCTACAACTGGGGATGAGCTTTGCTCCAAAACTACACATAGTCTCTTCCTCCTTTAAAGATATATAGAAGAATATAAAGACGAAAATTCCATCACCTAGAGTAAAGTGCGATGAACATTTTGGTATACTTCTCCAGTATTTTTCCCATACATATATGTAAATCTGTAATATTTACAAAATAGTGATCAAAACGCTTTTTCACTTAACATTATGTTGCATTTCCAGGTCACTAAACTGTCTTCAGGATTGTAGCTCTGCATTTGTCTGCATGCTGGATATGCCATTTTTTATACAACACATTTTCTGTTGTTCAAATTTATTTTTTAGTCTTTCTTTCCCTACTGTGACAAATAAGGTCATCTTTCCCATCCCTTGCCCATTTCAAGCTAAAAACAAACACCACATATAAAAGAATTAGATCTAAGATTCTTTTTCTGAGAGTGATTCTTGAGAAAGAATTATGTAATAGCACTGTAAACAAAATAGAGATAAAATAAACCAGGAGACAAGTGTCGCTCACTGTTCCAGCAAAAAGCTGACTCCAAAAATTACAGGCTCACAAATAGAAGTCTATGAAAGAGCAACATGGCCGAAGTTAGGAGAAAAAGAATGCAGAAGCAAGACCCAAATAGCCACAGAGATGGGGAGGAAGTAGGAAATGGACATGAAGGATAGCTGGAGGCTGACACAGCTTCCCCCGGGGCCAAAAAAAACCAATGTTGTTTTACATCTTCAGCAAACGTTATGAACTATAAGGCAGAGGGATAATGGGCCTGTGCTGGTGAGAACAGCAAGTTATTGGTGTGTATAACAACGTTTGCTATAAATAATGTTCTTGATAACGCTACTAGGATAATAAGAAGTTACATGTTGTCGCACTGGCAATGAAAACAAGATGCATTTGGAAACAGATGACCCATGGATTTGTGGAAATGGAAACAAAAGCAAGCAGCTTAAGCAGCAATGTGTTGAGATCAGTATTTGAGGCAATACCTGCTGTGTATTTCACCCAACACTGTGCAATACAGAAAGTGTCACGCACTTATGTGTTAGATGTCAATTCATATGTTCCTTCAACAAACACCGAACACCTCCATACTCATGGCTCTGGGCTAGACTTTGAGGACACAGAGATGAATCCTACACCTGTCTTTCCTCTAGGACAGACAGGATGCGTGAGCTCTCCTGACATTCTGTAACTTTCCTTCCAGATACTTGTTTCAGTTTGGAATCGCACATTGTATTTGTGACACTTGTGATTATTCGATTAATGGCTGTCATTCCACCAGACCATAAGTTCCATTGATGTGTCTTGCTCACCACTGTTTTCTAGGCACAGTGTTTAGGACATAATAAATGTTCAACGAATACTTGTTGAAAAAACACTAAATGAAAAAATACTTGTTATAAAAGTTAGTGATAAGTGTCATGAGAGGTATATAGATAAAGACTGCTTAATTCCCAGGACAGAGAGATTAATTCCAGATAAAAGCTAAAAAGTTTTAAGGAAGGGATAGCTGTGACACTCAAGAGACCAGATTAAACAATTATTATAACCATCTAGGTGAGACAATTATAGGTGAGGGCATAAACAAGTAGGGTACAGATAATAAGAAGGGAGAGAAGCAGATAAATAACAGTATTACAAAGATAAAATTGGCAGACAGTGGTTGCTAATGGGATATGAAGGGCAAGGAGAAGCAAAGGGTTTAAGGATGTGCCAGGTGACTGGGAGGATAGGGATTCACAGAAGAAGAAAAAAAGTGGCTAGATAGGGCCATGGAGGGCATAGGACTTCAGATTCAGATGTATCAAGGTCATCCTGAAGGAGACGTCAAGCAAGTCCTTAGCAGTGTGGATCAGGAGGTTTATCAGAAGATCACCTCAGAGACACAGACTTTTGAGACATCTGCACAGAGATTCTGCTGGCAGTTATAAAGGTGGATGAGGCTGTCCAGGGAAATATTATAGAGAAAGAGAAGCAGAGGACCAAAGACTGGTGCTTGAGAAGTGTAGAAGTTTGGCAGGGTTATTTGTATGTAGTTTAGGAAGACAGAGAGGAGAGGGCTGTTTCTCTTCCAGGCCCATAAAACCCTATCAGATAAGAAACCATCCTACTCCGTGCTGGGAAAGTCAGTTTACCCCAAGGAGGCCTTCCAGGCTTCACAGGTCGGACAACACCAGTGCATTGTATAAAGGCAGCAGCCCAGACTCTCTGGCACCAAAATGGCTGGAGAAGTGTTAGAGTTTAGGACCTAGGTGGATGGCACACTGGACCCCAGCCCATGCAGGCTCCCAAATGCCAAGGACAGCTCTTGGTTAGCACTCCTATTTCTAAGATGTGCTGATTTATATTATCAACAGCTGTGAGCTCTTTGATGGGCAGCCCAGTCTGACTGGTTGGTTGTGGGGCATCCTTTGAAAGCAATGAGGTCACACAGCTTGAGGCTTGTCTATCCCTGTTGTCAAACTGTTTTGTCTCCAGTCTCCTACAGTGATCACTTTGGGGAGACTGGAGCACCTCACAATTTCTTCCCCTAAGCTGTAGCTAATCTCACCCCCGTTTACCACTCCACCTGTTGAGAGGTCTCATGTCCTTACGCACCCAAGGTATTGTTATGCTAAACTACTAGCTAAAATCACTCGAAAATATGTAATGACTGAAAAGAGGAGAAAGGTGGGTAAAAACAGCAATTTTTTTGGTCTCCTTTATAGTAAGAATAGATAAGCACCCAAAGTGGTTAATAGCCAGCACTGACCAGGGCTTGGTTGGTAGTAGATGGTCAAAGTTGAAATGAATGAAATAGTGATGGAAGCATCATGCAGTACATTTTGAAGCTTATGGCAATAAATGCAAATTAATCCAAATATATGCACTGGGCTTTAACTAAATGCCAAGAACTGGGACAGACAATGAGGACAAAATAAATAAGTGAATGGTCAAAAGCTCCAGGAAAGTAACTTCCATGAGTTGCTTACACAAAGGTCACAAATTAAGAAGCTGGAGGGCAGTATCAGCTGCAGAAATCTCAGGATTTTCCTTGGCCCCAGAGAGGTAGGTTGGGGCCAGCTGTGAGGAATATTGTATCCTATTTCACGGGATTTGTGATATTTAATAAGCGATGGAGAGCTGGTAATAGACTCAAGCAGAAGGAACATGAAATAATTTGATTTTAGCATTTATTGATTATATTTTTCTTCCATATTTCCATTAATAAATGGTTATATATAATAGCTGCTAAATTCTGGATATAATTTTCATAATAGTTCAAAGGAAAAATGGTTTTTGTGGAAAAATATTTATTTTACTAGAAAAAAAAAGTCCGAAAATATGATTTGATTTGTAGAAATTTGCTTTCGGATAATATCTCTAAGAAGGTATCTGTTGTGTTTTTATTAGGAGGAAAGAAGACCACAGACAGGACAGAGCCGTGGACAGGACAGTTACAGCTCTCCGTCCTGTCATGGCGGTGTCACAGGCAATCAGTATGCTATCATATGGTTGTGCTCATTCAGGTTATAAAGAAGAGAAACAGGTATGTACATTGACATTACTTCCCTATGAAGCTACACAAGGAAGTAAGGAAGAACAAGCAATAGCGTCCACAGTCATAAGCAACTCAGAAGGTCAACAAGGAAACACAGCAGCCCCAGCTACCGTAGCAGGGCGAGCTCCTCAGTCGTCAAGGTATCCATCGCTCTCCAGTGTGACTCGGTCATGCAGGTGGCTCGGTTCAACTTTGTCTTTGCTTCTCCTGACGCAGTGAACGGAGTGGTCAAGAACACAGGCCCTGGAGCACTGCCCGCCTGGGTCTAGATCCAGGCTTTGCCTCCAAGACACTTGGGAAACGATCTGATTGGGTCTTATCATCTCTAAGAAACACAGCACATACCCATCCCGCAGCATTCTTCCAGCCACTGCCTTGTGGGCCACAGGACAAACCAGACAACTCCTTCAGGTGGGCATGAAGGCTTGGTTGAATTAGTCACATGATGGAAAGTATGGTCCCCAGTGCATAAGGAACCACTGTCGCTGCCTTTCTCAGAAGGGGGCAGAGCTGGTACTCAGAGAACCATGGCGTGCCATCTGCTCCTCAAGAGGTGCATGCCACACCCAGAAAGGTAACTAATAAAGAAACTGAGTTAACTAAGCAATATAATAATAATACAATATAACATATATAGAATATATACCAAATCCTATATAGAGAGAATCATACAGAATATATTGTAAAATTCTAATAATTTATAATATAGGATTCCATAATATTATATAATATAGTATTATTATATTACAATATACTATATAGTACTTACAATATTATATATGCATATATGTATTGTGTATGCATATATGTATAAATGCATATATGTATATGTATTATGTATGTAAATAAATAGAATAAGAATACTAGAACTTAGTTAACTAAGCAATATGAAATGAGGTTAAACGCAAGTTTAGAAAGAAACAGGAGAACACTTGTTCGACGTTCCACAGTGGTCTAATTTCTGTTGAGACCATCACCAGCACACCTCATAAACCACCATAAGAGAAAATCTATTTCTACATAGACTCTAGTTATTAATAACAATCTTACATGGGGCATCACTGGCATACTTGTATTGTTTCCTATCTTTTTTTATCTATACAAAATTTCCATTCTAACAAGCCAGGTTCAGAAATCTCATAGGATTGGTTATATCTACCCGAGAGCAAAAATTCATTAAAATTTTTTTTCATGAAAAATGTCAAACAGCACAAGTAAGGAGATAATAATATGATAACCATGCATATCCGCACAGCATCAGCACCTGCCGGCGTTTGACAGGCATGTTTCATCTATGCCTCCCCCTTGCTTGCTGAGAGATGAAAGTGAAATTCTCATGGACAAGGAGAACATCAGTGTTAAAGGGCCATGTTCAAAGAGGGAGGGCTAGGCTTCTCTGGCACACAGGTTTTCTTTACAGCATATTTTTCTTCCCATTTCCTCAGCCATTACCCAAATTCCGCTGGTGGCCATGGAGATGCCTCTTAGCATGGCCTCAGAATAATCTCTGTATTTTGCTCCCTGCCTCCAAACAAGGAGATGGTAACTCAAGTCCACAGACCTCTAGGGATCCCACAGATCTGCTTCAGCCAGTCTGTGAAATCCCAGAAAATGAAGGCAAATATTTTTACATGTATTTATTACATTCGGGAGTTCCAAAGCTTCTATCAGATTCTCAGAGAGGCTTACTACCTACAAAAGGTTAAGAACCTCTGCCTCTGCCAGATCTTGAAACTACGTATAGCAAACACACTCCCTAGCCAATTCTCTATATCAAGACCTTACGCCTGTCACCACCTCCAAGATGCCTTCCCTGATCATCTCACCTGCACTGATTTCCCTCATGTTTCCCTGCAGAATTTAAACCAGGCCACTTTCGTATTTATCACATTCTACTGAGATCCTGTTCACTGGACAAGCATTCATTAGCCACCTACCATGTGCCAGTCACTGTCCTGCACTTACTGAGGTGTGCTTTGTCCCCATTGCACTGTTAGAAGAAGGCAGAGAACATCACAGCATCCAGTACATACGCTGCGTCCAAGGACAGATTGTAGTTGTAGCTCCGTTGAATGGAAACAAAAATGAGCATTTGGCATTCAGCTCAAGAACAGTTAAATTGGGCTCGTGATTTTTTTTTCTTTTAAATGAAAAAACGAAACTTTTATAGAATGAGGAAATAATTTGATTATGCCGGGCATGGTGTTAAAGATGCCCAGGCAAGGGGTCCCTCCGCTACCCCAATATACTGTGGCACTAGAAAACTATTCCAGCATTGCAAACTGTATATGCTGATCTCCACCCATCCTTTTAGCAGCCCCTTCAAGACACGGGGGTCTATGTGAGATGGATAGTTGGGTCTCCACTAAAAAACATGCCTGGAAATACTCAACAGGAAGTTCCCCCCACCATGGAGTCAGGAGCATCAACCTGGCACACAAAGGGCAGCAGGGTAGTTACTAAACATGCTAATTTTTCAATATTGGGCACGTGCATCTTTTAAAGTACATAGACCTCCCGATGATTACTGAGTTGTTTACTAACAGAGGTTGAAGATTATTATGCTAAAGACTTGGCAGAAAGTAGTTAACCCTATTGTTACAGAAGTGGGGGGTGGGGGTGATCTGTGTCCAATTTTATGTAGAACCTTCTAACCCAAGTTCCATCCCTCCTTCGAGTAGAGGCTGCTTGTATGGGGCTAGTTTTGCAAAACTCTTAACGGATTAAGCACGCCGTTTAATGAACAGATCTGGAGTCTAAGCAGTGGCCCTTTGATCCTCAGTTATCCATCTACAACGGGGACACTTCCGTTGAAGTAGGTGGTTGCAAGGATCAAATGAGCAAAGACGCGCTAAGCCGCACGTTGTTGTCACTCCAGGTACTGCGTGGCTGCACTCCGTGCGGGCCAGGTGTGCTCGCCTCGGCGTCCTCTCCCAAGGCGGGAGGGACAGACGAGAAGGGCGCGGGGAGGAGGCAAGGAGGTCACCCCTCGTCCCCAGACTGAGCGGGGCGGCAGAGCCTCACTTCCTGGGCACGTTTGGCCGGGGCGTTCCCAGGGGACTGGCCAGGGAGGCCACCCTCCCCCAGGTCGGCTCTGCGCGCCTCCCAGGCTGCCCGCCCTCCCCTCCCGGAGGCGCCGCGGGCCTCGGTCCCTGGCCAGCCCGTGCGCGAGCGCCGCCTCCGGAAAGGTGAAGGCTGGTCGGGGAGGCGGGGATGGCGATGGGGGCGGGGACCGCGCTGCCAGGGTCGCGGCGGCCGCCCGAAGGCGCCCGAGCCCAGTGAGCGGCGCTTCCCGCGCGGGGCGCGCCCGGAGAAGGCGGGCCAAGCCAGGACCCCGGCTGAGGCGGGAGGAGGAGCTTGCGGAGCCACCCCTAAGCCCTGCCCGCCGAGTCGCGGCCCCGGTGGCATCGCGGCAACTTCTCTGTGGAAGCCCCGACGCGCGCCCGGCGCGCACGCGCGCTCCCACTCGGGCACGCGCGCTGCTGGCGCCCCGCTCCTCCGCGAGCCCGCGCGCCCTCCGTTTGTTTCTTCCTATTGCATTCGTCCTCACACTCTAAATTAGGTCAGCGGGTGGAAGTTACACCTGGTACAGCCCCCGGCTCTGATGCAAAAGCAGCTTTTTCACCCCGGCTTCGGGAAAGCATTGCAACTGTGCGGTTCGGTCTAGCTTACCGCCCCCATACCGTGCAGAAAGCGCTGGCGACCGTGGCGCTGACAATGGTCTGCAGAGGGGAGCGGCGAGAAGGCTCTTTTCCACCCTAGTTCGGCCGGCTCTGCGCCTGCCCTCCCTCCAGGGACAGGGAGGAGGGGGTGCGACAGGTCGCCGCGCGCGCGCTGGGGCGCCCGCGTCCGGGGTCTGACCGCCTAGGTGAGTTCCTGCTCTTCTTCTGTCATTCCAGTTGCTGAGGGTGACCTGTTTACCTTGAAAACTTAGACGTGATCAAAACGTATCACGGTATGCAGTAAGAGATTGCAGGATGTGCTTCAGATATTACACCGGATAAATCAGAACTCAGAGCTGCAGGGGACATGTTTTGTTTTAAAGGTGAAAATGGATTTGTGTTTTCATGGAGCGCACGTGTATCTTTCCCTTTAGAAGCTATCACTTAGGAATTGATTTTTAACTAGCAGGAGGCGATGAACTAAGATAACTTGAAGCCAGAAAGTTTGTCAGAATAATTTTTCGTTGATCTGAAAGAGCGTATTGAAATATTCAAAGCTGATGACAAAAATGCAGTTTAAGAAGGAATATCAAAGTGAGATGGCAGGATTTGTATAATATTTGCTATATGTATGCCTTTTGGTAGTACCTGGGTTCTTTGTGAAAATGTAAGCATGCAATGCTTATGCAAAGGGAGGATAAGGTTGTAAGCATCTAGGTGCAAAGCTTTATATCGGTTGGTGCATGAATTTAAATGTATATTGAACATTTCGTGCTGGCAAAGAGCTGGAATATATCTATATCGCTTTGAGGTTAAGGTTGTTAACAATATTATAGGTAACGATTGGCATTTAACCCCTCATTTCAGCGGCTAAAGTGCTTTTATGCACGAGACTCATTAGCCTATGGAGTCTTTGACGTTACCGGCTAAGGAACGGTTAATTTGTTTTGAAGTTTAGTGAAGAGAGAATGGTAGGTTTTCTGGCTGAAAATGCGGTGTAAAAGACTCCCCAGTGTTGGTAAAGGATGCTTTGGGGGAGCTCAGAGGGGAGGATCATTTGAGAAGAATGAAGCAACTCCCTGATGGCCACTGATTGCACAGAACTTCTTTCACAGGAGACCCCAAGGAGCTGGAAAGTGTCTCCTCCCTGGGGAAACCACTCCAGAGAACTTTGTTAATGCATTTGGTCTGATTTGAGCAGGGAGCTCTCTATAGACTCTTCTCTTAATTCAAATCCTATTTCTAGAAAGCTTCAATTACTGTAATGATGATCTTTGGAAATAATTTTTCCTTTTGTGTGTGTCTTAATATGGCTGAAGCACCAAGGTAGTTCAAAGGTTTTCATCAGATTTTACTTACCGGAGGGGTGTGAAATTGAAAATGCTATGTCTGCATGGTTAACTGCCTTAAAATGGAGAGGCAGGAGGGCTCTCCCAATAAATCTTAAATCTCTGTTTATGTGTGTCTTCTAAAGCCAGATTAAGAGAACTGTAAAGAAGGTATTGATGGTCACATATTGCTGATAGGTGGATATGCGAATACTTACATGCACTTCACTTGTAAATAATTCACATGCACCTTTAGAAAACTGGTGTCCAAAATTTGAAACCCATTGTCATGAGGACCCCATCATTGCTTTGAAGAAGGCACAAAGGACCAGACAAGCTTGGCAATATACAGGATCTTAATGTTGAGAAAAAAATGCAATGAAATCCTTGTGTTTACTGCATGTTGATGTTCTGATTCGCATTTTAAGTAGCAAATGAGTCACGTTCTCATTGTAATTTAGCCCTTGGTATAATGCATTGTTGAGATTAGGCTGTCAGCACTTGTCTGTGCAATCTGAATGTTTTTACTGGTAGAGAACTTAGGAAGTGTTCTGAGAAGAATGGCATGAAAGTATTAAGATAACTAGGGATTTATTTAAGGACAGACTGAAGGAACTAAATATTGAGCCTGATCCTGACATAGCTTGGTCCCTGGGAAGACTGAAAGTATAGTGGTGCTAAATGGCCAGTGGATGTCCTTCAGCTTTGTTATTCTCTCTCTTGATATCCTAAGAGAGTACATAGCATAGACCTCTAGCTAAGAGGTATCCAAAAGGAGCTGACATCCTACACCTTGGGTACTTACTTCACATCCAGAGAAACTTCTAACCACCCAAGAGACGGAATTTAGAGTTTGAACTCCATCACTGGAGGGAATCCCAGCTTTGAGCCATTTCCTCGTCTGTGAAATGGGGATAATGATACTTCTTATAGTGGTGGTGAGGAGCGAATGGGATAATTGGTGTAAAATGGCAGTGCGGTATCGGCACACAGTGAGCAATTTTACAAGAAGGAGAAGGTTGTTGACTTAAATATCATCTCCTGGGGGTTGCAGAGGGGTTGTTGCATAATTGGGGGTAGAATTGAATATTTGGGTAAATGGGTCAATCCCCTGTCCTGGTACACTTAGTATACTCTTAGAGTATACACTGTACCATATGCTAGACTCAGTAATGAGCGTCCTTTGGGGGGCTCACACTATCAAACTTGCATCTCCTCTACCTTAGATAGGCCTTCTGCTTACCTAGGTTGAAGAAGTTACCTGTGGTGGTTTTTGGACATAATGATGAGATAGTGAGGGAGGGAGGAGATGACCAATTGAAATTCTAAAATCGAATTTAAACGCTAAATTAACTAGTTTCTGTTAATGCCATTAGAACTATGGCCCTCATAAAATGATGACAATTCCTCATTTTCCCATGGTCAGTTAGAAACGTAGAGAACATCCGCCATTATTTAGAAACAGAGGATTTGGACTGGGGATGAAGCAGCACTAACATTCATTCAGATTTTCACTTGGTCGGCATTTCTAGGGCACCTAAGGCACTGCGCCAAGCCTTCAGGATGCAATAGCAAGAAAAACAGACCTGGCCCCTCCTGGACGGCAGGTCTGCGGAGAATACATAGGTAAACCTGTAATGTGACTGCGCTAAGCGCTATGCAGGAAACACATAAAGGGAAGAAATAGGGAACTGGATCCGTGGAGGGCAGGAGGTCAGGAATGCTTGCTTGAGGAAGTGATATTGGGGTTGTGAAGGAAGGTCCTTGGGGAAGAAAGAGCATTAACGCCCAGTGAACATCACTGCGGGGTCTGTGGACGCATGCGCACTGTGGGGGAGGACCGTGGCGAGGACAGGTATCCGAGGAAAGGGGAGATGTTGAGTGAATGAGGCTGGAACCCTAGGCCTGGGCTGTAGACACGTTTTGTTTTGTGTTAAGGGTTACAGTCTCGGTAGAACTCTTACTTGTTTTGTGTCAACATTTTACCCTAGGCGTTTTTCAGACTACTCGATTGAATTATAAAAAGGATATTTACAATCACTTTTTTTAGCTAATCAAAACCTAAATTAATATTCAACGTAATTGACTAGTTTGTCAGCTCTTTGCGTTATTAATTGTCTGACGTTAAAGCATTTAGCTTAATTTTCTTTTTTTAATATACAAATTTTTGTTTAAAATACGTATTTTGTATTTTAAACAAAAAATCTGTTATCCAGTTTGAATCTATGTATCTATTCAAGAGCTGTAGGGACTGACTCACTTGTATTTCTCCTCTGGGAAGGCTCCCTGAGCAGACTCTGCGAAGCTGTGACATAAGCCTGCGGGGCCGCGGCAGGAAGCGGTGTTCACCCTCCGTGGGGTGGACTGCTCCCCTGCACCGTCCAGGCAAGGTCACAGGGCAAGGTCACGTGAGCATTTGGCATATGATCCTCTTCACCATATATGTGGTTTTATTCTCTTTGGTTTCCCTGTTCCCTTCTCTCTTCTCTTCTTTTTCCTTCTTCTCTCTCCTGTTTGTCTTTTTTTCCTTTAATGTTTTTTCTCTCTCTCTCCAGAGGTCCCCATGACTATTTCTCAGCCTTTGTAATTATGCTTTGACCTCAACCTCGGGCCTTAAAGAGTGTTGGCCCTGATTTGGGTCATTCTGGATGGTACTGCCTGTGACCTTCTTCCTGTTCCTTAATGCATAATTGTTCATGTCCAATGGGCACAACCTTTTCCCTTTTCGTGGTCATCCCCAGGCGTTACCTGCGGTCCTGTGCATTGGTTGGTCTCAGCTCTCCTTTCTCATTTTTTTACATCAGGTTGCAGATAACAGAAACTATCCAAGCCACTTTAAGTAGAAGGGGTTTAATAGGGGAATTAGGTGCTCACGAGTAGGTTGCAAGGGAAAGTTGCAACTTAAAGGAGAGAGGATCCAGGCTGAGGTTGAGGGATGACTCCCAGACAGCATGGCTGAACCGGCCCTCAGGGTTGCTACCATCATTGCCACAGTCTGGAGGCTGGGAATCGGAGCCACCGTGGGACCTGCTGACATCCAGAACACAGTGTTTGAGCTGTGTTCCAGAGATCAGAGAAGCTGTGGCAAAGTGCCACTCCATCCAGGAAGCTAGTGACTGAGCATGGCTAACAACAACAAAAACAAGCTAGCAAACCTCTTCCTTAGCTACCCTCCACCTCCCTTCTAATCCGCCTCATCTCCCCAGTAGAACCTCATCTGTGCCCAGAGCCCTAGCTGCAAGGGACTCTGGGAAATGTAGTTTATAGCTTTCCAGCCTCAGAGATGGAGGATGCACACTTGAAGGAGACTGGAATGAACGCTGAGTGACATTCCATCATGTCTCACACTTATGGAAAACAGATTTCATCAGAGACTTAGCTAAAATATTTCATTCAAAGCAGGTAGATGATATATTGCAAGAATCAGAAAAAGATCTAGTTGCTAGCCAATTTCCATTTCAAACAGATGGATATGATAGTCATTACAGTTGAAATTGCTGGAAAAAGCATCAAGCAAATAAATAACTAAAAATTACCAAGCGCGTGCCTCTGCTTGTGGTTCTATTTGAATGTGAAATAATATTCTTTTGTTTCAGTTTAGCAGTCAAAGTAATATATCGGGAAAATGATTTTGAAAAGGGTCCTACCCACTGAAGTCCTGGATAGCCCCTCGGTTATGAAAAGCAATAAAAAGAATGTAGTGTCCGATCAAAGAAATAATAGCTCCTGCCAGCTGGTTCTTTCGTGAGATGAATTATCTGTGTATCTGTGTTTCTATT